AGGAAGGAAGGAAGGAAGGAAGGAAGGAAGGAAGGAAGGAAGGAAGGTATCTTATTTATTCAACCCAACCCTTCTTCCTGGCATGCTCACCCGTAAAGAGGTGATGGTTGTTTTTGCGTAACTTGTGAGCCCTCTCGTACAATTTCCTGGCACTTTTCCGGGATTCGGGACAGAGCCTCGTCCTCATGGTCTTTACCCCCTGCTTGGAGTCCGGGTTCAAGAACACCACAATGGGATACCACTGGGCGTAATTTAGGCGGTCCACAGCATTTGGGGTGACGTCCAAGAGTGCGTGTTTGTCCTGAGAAATGAGAACATGGATAAAAAAGGCGAGTGGCATGTCTGTTCAAGTTGACAAAAATACAGCATCTGGATGAGGACTGTGCAAGGCACGGATGTCCAACCTTGGTCACTGTAAGATCTGTGGGACTTCAACTCCCACAACCGGTTTGACTTTTGTTGAGAACTCTGGGAGTTGAAGTACAGCAGCACCTTGGTAACCAACTGCTCGGTAACTCATTGAATTTGGTACTCAACACAATTTTGATGCAAAAATGTTGTCCCGGTACTTGTCGTTTGTTTAGTACTCAACGCACAAGTTAAAACCTGTCGTTGCCGGCTGCTTTGTGATTCGTTACATTATTCTTTATGGGGAAAAAATGTTTGGTACTCATTTTTGGTTCATCACACCTCCCAGAACCAATGAACGATGAGTAACCGAGACACCACTGGACACAGAACAAGAAGGCAGCAAAATTGCAAAAAGCTATTTAAGAAAATAAAATAAAATAAATTCAGGTTGATGACAGCTGTACTCTTGCATTTTGGGAAGTTTTCAGATTGGGGAAGGATAATTGGGAGTACAATTATTCTCATGAATAGGATAATGTTTGTCTGGGGAACAAGTGCGCTCCAATTACTTACTCTGTCAATTATCTGTTTTATTGTGTGAAGGCGAATGATGCCTGAGCTACGCTGGTCAGTTCCAGCATCCCTGGGCTCACTTTCTGTTGGAAAAAAAGATAGCAGACATTACTGATTATTCACCCAATATTTCAACAGGTACCTGGGACTCTTTTTCGGCGGCTCCTTGCTCTGGAGAAAAGGGCAGGCTCTGTGGGCCAAAAGCCTCTATTCTCGATGTCAATGCTTTTTGTTAAAAGCTGTGCTTGCCGGAAGTCACAGTTGGCCTGGCTATTTCTATCGTCCTTCCCCTCTCTGCTGTGGCCCAGAGATTAGACTGCAGCATTGCAGGCAAACTCTGCCGACTGCCAGCAGTTTGATCCTAACCAGCTCGAGGTGGACTCAGCCTTCCATCCTTCTGAGGTCGGTAAAATGAAGACTCAGATTTTTGGAGGTAAGAGACTGACTGTGTAAACTGCTTGGGTCTGAAAAGCACCATGAAGCGGAATGTAAATTCTAAGTGCTATTGCTAGTCCTTCCTTCCTTCCTTCCTTCCTT